TGGTCTCCGAGCTTCGCGTTGGCTTTATGAAGTCATCGAGCCTGTTTTCCATCTTTTCCTCGCTCTCTTTTGCTTACACGCCGACGCCAAACCCTTGCAGGAGTTCGTCGTTTGCCATCCCGCGCCGCGCGTCGTCGTTGGTCCGCTTCTGCCTCCGTTCTTGGACTTGGTGAGTTCGCCGTCATCTCCTCTCTCTCCCCATGCCCTCGCTTTGCTATGTGGTGGTCCGTAGGGCCTAAACCGGTTCGTCGGCGAAGCTTCCTCGCCGCCGTTCATGGCCGCCGCCGCGCCGTCTTTTTCTTCGGCGGGTGCTCTCTCCCCCCCTCTCATCTGATCTGCACCGTTTCCTTTAGATCCTACGGTCCAGATCGGTCGGTATCCTTTCGCCTGACTTATTTTCTAAAGAGCCCCTCGGGTTTTTAATTTTAGAACCCGCCGTCCCTGCACTTTTGCTAAAGAGACCCTCGGTTTTTGAATAATCTAACCCGCAGTCCATGGCGCACTTCCAAAATACGTTTTCTCTATTTACAGTTTTGCCACTAATCTTGTTTTAGCCATAAAATCTTCGTTTTAACTCCGATTTGATCCGTTCAGGTTGCGTTAGGTTCGTAATTGAGTAATCTACATGTTCATACTACTGTTAGATATGTTTTTAACTTTTAAAATTCGAGGTTAGATTTAATCTATTATTTTATTAAAGGAAATCTTGTTTAATTCATAACTTCTTTGTTTTTAGCTCCGATTTTCGTGATCTTCGTGTCTGTGTGTTCGTAGCGAGACATAGATTCGTTTTACAAGCTTTTCATCTTGATTCTATGCTGGTTGGTGTACTATTCTAATCTATTGTCTTTGTTTGCTTTGCATGATTGCTTCGGATGCTTGTATGTTACTGTGGTTATCGACGACAGTGATCTAGAGGTGCGGCGGAGTCCGCACCGCGGCGAGGTGCGCGGCGGAGCTCCCATAAGGTAAGACCAATGTCAAGTTCCATACACATTGTTATCAACGGCCTAGAGCTAGCCTTTCAGTCTCACGAAGGTGTTGGTACTGAGGATTTCTACCTAAGTCATAATCTCGGTCATGGTAGGTGCCTTTGACGTGTACAATTTGGTCCCATATAAAGTTGCAAAGGTCGTCGATGAGCTCTAAGATTTGGTCATCCTTGTATGGGTCTCTTTTTATTTCTTTCTCTTCTTTCTACTACAAGAGAATAAGTTTCGGTTTAGTATTTTATATCATGTGCGGAGTTTTTATACTACGGGTGAAAATATTCAAACTTACCCTTAAGAAGTGTCTCCTGTGGACACCGGTGTTACTCATCATAGAACATACATAGTATCCACAATGTACACTCCCAGGCTTCTGCTTGGGGCACTGTGTGTTTTGCATATGAAAATGTTAAGTAATGCTTTTGACAGCCATGTAATGAAATACTAAAATAAGTTACACTTACCGCATATAGTGTTTTTACAGCCAGCCTTTTCTTTCTTACTGGATCATGCCTTCCGTGATGTTCATTGACATAGAACCTGAATGCCTTGTTCGAATTATTTTAGTAAATACAACTTGTTAATATCCAAAAGTGAATGTTACAAGTATGTATACAAACATATAAGTTAATGAGGATTGTAGATATGTATACGTCTTGAGAATCGATATGAAGTCTTTGTATGTGACCGGATCCCTATCTATTGAATCAAAGACCAATGCCATGCTCCTCCCGACATCGACGCCTATACAAATCCAGTGGTTGCTGCATGAATTTAATCATAGAACTAGATAAACTCTTTTGCATCGAATAAAATATATCGAACAAAGTTTTAAGTATAGAGTTGAACTTACTCGAAGTTGTATGGTAGCCATATAGTAGAGTGTTGTTGGAGATTTTTAAAAGCCAGGGCAATGTATGCCGAAACCTTAAGGGACACTTGCCTTAGTATCTTCGCACGGATGACCTCTTTCTCCCGAAGGGTCTTTTCAGCATAAGCCTTAGTTTCCCGAGCACGCCCACTGTAGGGGCGGCTGCATCACCAGCCGTCCTTAAAAAGAAATTGTTTCGTTGCTATAAATGTTTTTTAAGTAGTGATGGCAGTTGGCAATGAGTTGTAAGTTGCAGCTTTACGGATCTGATCCGAGTGCGACCCGATGTTGCCTTCAAAACAATTCGTGGATCTAATAGATAGAAACTTTTTTGGGTAACGCTGTAGTAGCACAGCCGAACAGCAGCAAAATACATCTCGGAAGACTTCTTCACGACTATAGGTGAGGGGTCAAGGAATGGGATCAAGAAGATCCTACTAACATCTGAGCGTATGCTTGTGAGATGCTAGCCAGTAGTAGCATATGTTTGATATTTCACCTCCTGTGTAACACAGAGTAAACTCTTGCATATGACAGCGCAATGCAAATCAGCTGCGCGATGGAGGAGCATCCAGCAGTTCACATCTGTGTACAGAGATAGATGATCTGTCCCTTACACGTAGCCATGGATGGTAGGCAGGTGCCGGTATCTCTAGAGGCATAATAGACGGCTGGTCCAGTCTTTAAATTTCTTCCCTCAATGAATTCAAGTTTTATTTATTTGATGGGTTTAATTATTCGTCATGCTTTGTCTTGGTGTAATGGCAGGTGAGGCACTTGACAGTGATGTAGTATGCCTCTAGAGTCTAGATTCATGGGAGCAGCACATTCCTATCCTATGCATCACGGTGGTGCCGACACTTTCTTCTCTACAAGGAACAATAAATAATAAAGATAAAAAGTAGGGTCAAATACAGCACAACAGTTTGGTCAGATTTGGAACCAGACCCGCCTTCAATAATTAATGGTTAATACTACATAGGAGAATCAACACGGCAGGGTAATCAATTACTAGACAACTTCCAGTAATCCTGATGAGCAATCTTGGATCAGATCAGAAATGGAGGTGTCCTAGAACAAAAGTTACTCTATTTGTGATGTTGCTTCAGTCTGTCTTGCTAGAGAGAAAGGACCAGTATTATCAATGTAACTGACTTGTTCTAGATGAGCAGTAGGTGGCTGTTTATAATATGCAGTCAGTGCACAGCAAGAAGCCTCAAGCAACTGTTGACACAGCTCAAACGGCCCTTTCTGTATTACAGCCTTCACGACTGCAAGTGTGCTTCTCTTTTCCTCTACTGTATCATTCTGAACTTTTTCTCAAGAACATATTCCAGCTTAAAAAAAAGGCAAAATCATAGAAAAGAGGAAATGCCAAATTCCTCTTGCATGGAACGCCATCGATGACGACGGCGACATCTCGCTTGTGCTAGCTAGCACGGACCACGCCAGGCCATCACGGTCATGGATCCAGCCGCAGCCATCATGGGTATAGCTCTTGTGTCTCAAAACTCAGAACAAAACAAGGCCAAAATTCGGAGCGTTTTCTGCCCAGAAAACAGACCAAACTTGGGAAGAAAATAAATGCCAGGAGAGGAGGCAAATGATCCAAACAAACCCCACCAAAAGAATCGGAGCATGTTGTGTATATATTCTCCAGCACAGAAAAAGGCTTGCGATGATTCTGTGAACGTGGCATGTCCCTTTCAGGCTCCCCAGGCGCAATCTGGTTCAGGCATTGTCCGGCTTCCATTGGCGTCTTATCTCTTTCATTCAAGCCATTGAAGGACACAAATTCTCATGGCTGTGACTTGAGAGTGACCTGTTGTAGTGAGATAGGTCATAGATTGTACTCTACTAGTAGAACACATGTTCTTTGGCCGTTGTAATGTCTGGTGATCACATGTTCTGGCCGTATACCTTTTGTTCTGGTCATTCTGAATCATAGTTTAAATCTATTTAAAACAATTTCGTTGAAAGCTCAAAAGATGCGTGAAGCGGTCGATCTTGTGTCAGTATGACAGCATCGCAAGAGTTACATACTACATAGTTTTCCAACTCTGGTTACGCATACAGAAAAGGGTAGACGGAAATGTATCAAACATCGATTACATCACCTAGGAGAGATCTTTCAAGGCTAATCACACACGTTTTATGTATATTATAAACTAAAAGCGCTAGGAGAGACGTGAACGCCTGAATTCACACAAGCGTGTTCACTCCTGCACGGTCATTTTCAGCAGTCGGGGGGCGCACAAGTCCACGTAGTTGGTGAGAACATAACACCCCCTTTCTATCTCTCTGGAGAGATGTAAACATGTTATAGTAGTTCCTATCTTCGTAGAAGTAGGCTTTAAAAATTACCACTACTTAGCAAAGATACCAACGTCGTCACCAATACCCGTATGTCGCTTTAGGTTAGGCCATAAGCAATTTTCATTCTGCCAGTCTGCCACGGACTAGGATACACGTGCTGTATTCCCGGGCTAAAGCTGAGGCTCAATGTATTGTCGTACTAACCCACAACATTTGCGAAATGGTAACTTGGCAGGGTCAAGTAGCTCGTCGGCCTTCGCCCATGGCGTCATAGGCCCGCACGTGGTTTATTAGATTGATCCCAATGGATCCTAAGGATGTCTTAGCCAAAATGTAGCCCCTTGAGTTATCAGCCGGGCCAGGAATGACCTCTCTTATATTTTTAAAACTTCTATCTCCTTAATACAATTACGCAATGCTCTTGCGTATTCGAGAAAAAAACATCATATGAACTATCGAGGTGAGGAGTTCTGACGCACCACCACATGTCTACAAACAAGCATGACTACAGGCTACGCCGGTCGTCCGATGACTAAGCAAGGTGTCTAAGATTCAACTGATTCAATCAAACAATACATATATATTGGACAAAATATCTCAATCTGCGGTATATGCTAATATGCCACATGACTAGTTCAGCTAGAGGTTTCAGAAGGTTCTACATCACAGACAAATTACAGCTTAAAATACAGTAAAAACAGGGGAAAGAGTTTCCACCTTGTCCCAAGGAAATTACTCTGAGTGAGTGACGTGTCAAGCACTTCAGTACTGCTCTTAATCACATTATAGAATATAGACCTTTGCAGTATCCTCATGTTCTACTTCTAGCCCTGCGCTCTGGATAGCATGCCAGAGAATGATGAGGGGCTGTTCCTCATTTGTTCTTGAGCTTGCTTCATCTCCTCAGGATCTTCCATGAAGAAAAGTAAACTCAGTTAGGCAGATATAGAAATGGAATCAACATTAGCATTTCAAATGCTGAAGAAAACTATGAAACTGAAGTGCGACTGTACTTCCAGCATTAACAATAACTAAAACATCCCACAATCGATAACTGAAAAGGGTCATCTACATAGAACCACTTTACAAGCTCTAGGGAGCACATTCGATCAATAATGGCAAGTACATCATGAGGCCTACAACTGATAGGATCATAGGAAAAAACAGCTCCCTAAGGTTTCTCTCAAGTGAATTTGGGAGATGCCAACATTGTCAACTTACTGTACTGAAATTTTAAGATGAAACAGTGAAGTATATAGGCTGCGGATAACAATGAACTAAATATAAGTAATGTGCTTAACAGGTACAAGACAAATAGTAGAAACATAAGAAGTTTTAGATAAAGAAAATCATCACCAAAACATTATTTAAGGCCCATTTCATTAATACTTACAGAAAGGGCAGATTATAACCAAGAGATCCAGAAGCACAACAGTTTAAACTAATAAACTCGATGCCCTTCTTGCTCTAGAAATTTGACAGTCAGCTATTGCACAAAGCTCAATAAATACAACTAACTCTACCATTATATAATGCAATGCAACACTGCTCTTAGTCTTAGAAGCTGCTGTTTGCTAATTGCAAGCTTTAGTGAAACATACTAACTGAATGCTTGTATCTATTTGGTGTAAAAGAGGTGAAATATACCTATGTTCTCCATCAGCTTGGGCATCACGAAGACCATTAAGACCATAAAACCAACCATCAACCCCATGGGGCTCTTCAAAAGTGACATGACGGAGAAAGGCTCCCTAACCTTGAAAAGGTTGAAAAACAAAACATTTAAAGAGGTTGCTTCTTTTAGCCTTGAAAAAGGGATAGGCTGGATCAAACCCAACATAAGCCACCAGTGATAAGTGAGGAAACAAGTATACAAAAAAATATGTAGCAATAGCTACCTCATAGTACTGCTCTTCTTTCAGAGGTTCCAGAACAAGCTCATTTAGAACTCTTCTGGTTTCAGTCAATGCTGCTTGAATATAACCAGGATTCCTTGCACTAATATCTACTCGAACCTATCATGCACCAGAAATATGGAGTAAATTACTTATATCCATTTCTGTTCACCTTACCAACAAAATCAAGGAATAAATACTTACTGGGGAAAAGAAGTAGCCAATTGAGGAGACCTCAATAAGATGAGTTCCAGCTGGCACGTTGTGGCTAAAGTATATCAGGTCAAGGAGCAACAATAAAGCAAATATAGTGATCTGCTAACACTGAACTATGATTGTATACAAGGAAAGATATACCCAAGAGCAAACAAGAATTGATGGTATGCACACATGATGAGAGCTACAGTTTCTTTGCTTAGTACACTATACCCATCTCTCGACATAAATTTTACCAACAACAAAAGGATAAATGTATGATAGTATGAGCTATGTCAGTCTAATAGGTTAATTTGCCAGAAAAATAAAAATAAACTTGAAACTTATGGCAATGCATCTTTTGTAGGATACAATGCAAAGTAACCATCTGGCCTGGCAAATGTAACCCTCTGGCCGCCATTAAGTATCACTTTTGTGTTTGATGTCTTGGCTGGAAGACCAAAGCCCTTCACACTCGCGCCTATAGCCATAACACAAAGATAACATCAGATAGCATAGGGTAGTAGCTTTCAGCTTGAAATTTAGGTTCCAAGCATTCTTCGAGGTGCAATAAACATCTAAAATGAACAAATCCTACACTGAAAAATCCCATAACTAATATCCATAAGCTAAAAGTACTCTCAGGGAACAACACACACACCTCATCCATTGTTTAATTTGTAATATTTATTACTTCTGATAAACCTTGCAGAAGCATTGGTCAGAATATCATAGCAATGCATCCACACATCAAGAAAACTAGTTTAGTGGTGCAGAGAGATAGAGGCTAAACAAAAAGCATATCAGAGACCTTCCAATTGCAGGCAACTTTTCAAAAATCACGCTGGCATGGCATCATTATATCATAAAAGCAAGATCCTATTGCAAATTCATTAGGTTACTGCAATGACAAAAGCAAGAAATCAACATGTCAACTTCAGAATTTCTGCATCTGTATGTATACTCCTTTTTTTGGACAGAACACAGCTGCTGATTCATTTCAGTTGCATTAACCATTAAACACCAGACAACAAGAACAGCACACAGGCACACACACTTGTACAATTCATGGCTGTACTTAAGTTTGTGAGCTATAAATTTAGCTAAAAAAACTTTGCAAAATCGTTTACCATGGAGGATCCCAAAACCAATGAACAACAGGGCCTCGTCATTTTGAATCAGGTCAACAGTCAGTGAATGCTTGCATACCTCTAATTTCCTAGAAATCGAAACTGCTTCAATACGCAGATTTAGACAAACGAATTGTTTGACATCCACACAAAACACAGGCACATCCAGCAACAAAAAAAGAGAACTAAATCGAGATCTCGGAACCCCAGCACAATATAAGGCGCGACTAATTTAGAACTGAGTTACACTCATACAATCCCTAAAACGCTGCAGACCTAGGCACCTGCAACAACCTAAATACAAATACGGCCAAATTCAGTGGGAGTTGGATCACTTACCATCGATCTTGACGCGGCCGGCGATCGTGTACCCCTCTCCAGATCTAGAGCCACAAACCACAAGAGCCAAATAGGGAGAGCGGTCAGCAAAGCATCCGGCCGATCGGATCACGGAGCGAGCGGAGGTGAAGGAGAGGTGAAGGACAGGGACACCTACCCGGCTTGATGCGCTGCCGCGGTGCCGAGGCAGGCCGACGCGACGGCCATGAGGAGAAACAGGAGCAGGTGCCGGTGGCAGAGGGAGGAAGCGGCCATCGTCGCCGTGGTCGTCGTTGCTCGTCACGGTCGCCCAAGGCCGGAAGGGAGTAGGGCTCGTCGGCTCGTCGCGGCCGATGATGAGGTGTTTGCGCTTCTGTTCGGTTTGGTGTTCTCGGAGTTGGCTTCTGTCGAGGATACGGCGAGTAATGGGCTCTTTTTTGTGCTCAAACGCAATGGGCTCTATTTGGGTCTATTTGGGCTACGCTAGTGATCCATCCTGACGGTCAAATCCGGCCCAGCGAACTGGAATCTGTGAGGTGACGGTGGCGGGCCTGCGGCGCAACCAACCGACCGAGTTACGAGGGATGTCGACAGGTGGGACCCGTTTGTCAGTTAGTGTGACTCATCCCGATCCGTGCTGGCGTCTGGGGCTCTTTCTCTTTGCCGTTCCGTCACGGCTTAGTTTGCTCGCCAAACTGACTGATTGTGATTGGTGTTTTTGCCAACGCTGCGGCAGCGCCGCCGAGCACGAGCCCGCCGGGAGGCTCCTGCACCTGCGGCTCCAGGGTGCGCTGCCGCCATTGCTCATCCCCTCCTTTGTGGAGGCGTGGAGCGGAGATCCACCCGGGCGCCAATTGGTCTCCTCTTTCGTTGGCAGGTAATCCTAGGACGGCCTCCGTTTCTCTGAAGAGTTGGTCTTGTTCGCTAGCAGATCCAAATCTTCTCTGTCTCTGTCTCTACGTTGGCTCCGTGTGTTGTGTATTGGCGTGCTGCTGCGTGGTGTCCTGTTAGTCCAAATCCATCCATCCATGTTTTGCCTAGGTTCCTTTGCGTCTTCATCAGGCTCAAGATCACACTAGTTGGCTGGCACCACACTACTTCTTGAGGTCTTGGTGCCCAATTAAGTCGGGGATACAACGAAACTCGTGCGAATTGATGTTCGTGCAGAACTTATTATAAGCAAAATCAAACACTTTTTGCAACGGTTATATGTCCTGAGCCTACTGATGTGTTAAGAAAAAAAAACAGTTAGAACTACTACTCTTGTTAGATGGATGGTGAGTACACAAGCAGAAATGAATTCAATTGTTGGGATAGTTCCTATTTTCTGCACACCTTTAGCTCATCAACGAAAAACCAAGTAAAGAGAGGTACTGTCGTTGGAATTGAATGCATGTTATCAGGTGCTGAAAACTGGAAAGACTTCTGTCTTCGTTTGTCCGTCCTCATCTGTACACTTGTGCTGCTCCGTATGTTCTTTCTTCTATTTGTTTGCTCTTACTATTTCTTGAATGACAGCTCTACGGCCAATAAATATGTAGTTTGGTCGTGTTCTCTTATTCGTTTTTTTCCATGCTAGAGTACAGGCTGTAGGTTCAAGATTCTTTCTACCCTTTACAGTTGGATTAAAATAGGTTCCTAGTAACCTCAAATGGTTATGATCTATATTAATCATGGGTTGGGTCCACCAGACTAATAGCTGGAAAATTGGATGTTCTCCTTTTCTGTGAGATTTTCTAAAAGGTTCCTCCTTCCTTGGTTCTGCAAAAGACTTGCCACCTACTTTTACTATATAATAGATGAGTGATCATATTTGCATTTAAGGGCAGTGTGTCATGTTTGGCAATATCACAATAATGAGGTAAGGTTAATTTTTCTTCAGCCATCTGCTGACATTGTATCTAAGACCGCAGTGATGATCTCAGGCTAATCGTGGTAATATCGAAGTATCAAACTAATGAAAACTATGTGTTCTGCTGCTCTTACACAATTTAATAACTTTAGTTGCTATTCTTCTGACCAAGTCTTTTGTGTAGTAGTAATACAGTGTTGCTGGTTTATTGCTATAATATTTCTGTTGTGTGATCAGTGAAAACTAGCTCATTTGCAATCCATTGAATCTCTTAAGCATTTTTGCAAATTGATTTTGTAATTTTAGGCTGAGTAACGTCAACTCCTGAATCAATGAGGGGCTGGGGCTTGCTCGTGTTATCGCTACATGTTCTTTCATGCCTGGTTAGTGGTGTTGCCTCTGGTCGAACAAGCTCTTATGTGCGCACAGAGTTCCCATCTACAGATATACCTCTAGATAGTGAATGGTTTGCTATTCCAAAGGGATACAATGCTCCACAGCAGGTAAGTAATTTTGTCACCAGATTCCAGCTCATTATTAGTGCTATCATTGTACAGTCTGTTTAGTGCTTACATCATGCTGGTACCAGGTTCATATCACCCAAGGTGACTATGATGGAAAGGCAGTTATTGTATCTTGGGTTACTCCAGAAGAACCTGGGCCAAGTGAAGTGTTTTATGGCAAGGAGAAGCAATATGACCAGAAAGCAGAAGGAACAACAACGAATTATACGTTTTACGATTACAAATCTGGATACATACACCATTGCCTTGTTGATGGCCTTGAGGTAATATACTAATAGGTTTCATTTTTTTCTATACTTCAATTCAGGCTTAATGTTATATTCTTATTCAAAATGTTTGCCCTGCACACTATTCACCCTGCCAAATATCATAACTCAAACACAATGCTTCTTTAATAGAGATAGATTTCTCTTGATGAAACAAATTTATTAATGCAGCTACTTTTTAGAATGCTATTTACACAGCTACCTCTCAAGTAGTATGCCCATGTTGGATTGGCCACAGAAATTTTCTTTATCGAATTTCAACTGTACAAGGTTATTTTATTCTAACATGATGCTATGTAAAATTCCAAATATATGCTGTAACTTTATTGTTTACACTTTGCAGTATAACACTAAATATTATTACAAGATTGGAAGTGGAGATTCAGCTCGAGAATTCTGGTTTGAAACGCCTCCAGCAATTGATCCAGATGCATCATACACATTTGGCATCATAGGTTTGTCTTTCCTTATTTAATTATTATTACTTTAGATCACTGCATATTGCCGTTCAATTGTGTTGGACCTCTATCAACCCCTGCCCTAGCTAGGTTGCATGATACAGAGCTGTGTGAAATGACAGCAACTATTGGTCACAGATTGCTTTTGACCTTGCCTAGCAAGGTAGAAATTGGAGCAAACAATACTGTGTGGGCTACCTACCTCTGCAATGCTAACCATAGAAAATGTAAATAATCATGGCACACATGACTGAAGGGACACCTATCCCCACCGCCATGCAGACATCCTGCCCCCACCGCCCCCACACACACACCCCACGACACCGTCAGAGAGTGTCAGTATATCTGAGGGAGCAGAGCCCCAAATGGATAGTATAGGTGTTGAGTACAGCAAACATGTGTTGATTTAAATCAGCTTACGCTATATAATGATGAAGCCTGGTTAATGGCTATATTTACAATCTTACCTTGTATATTCTGAAACAACTCCTGATATGCACTCTGATCTTCCATAAAAGGCATTCTGGGAAAATAGAAAATCGATTAGTCGTCATGGACAAAAGTTAGGCAAATAATATTGCCTTAGTATTACTGATTCAGCGCTTTGAGCAGATTGATCCCAACTCTTTCTATCTCTGTTGTTCCAGGTGATCTGGGGCAAACATTTAATTCTCTCTCAACTCTTCAACACTATGAGAAAACTGGAGGTCAAACTGTTCTATTTGTTGGGGACTTGTCGTATGCTGATAGATATGAACATAATGATGGCATTCGTTGGGATTCTTGGGGTCGATTTGTTGAGAGCAGTACTGCATACCAGCCATGGATTTGGAATGCTGGAAACCATGAAATAGAGTACAGGCCTGATCTGGTAATTTATGTTCACATCTTTGCTAATACAGCACCTTCCATTTGAACATAACTACCTAAACCTGTTTTAAAAGAAAAAAAAACATGCTTGTCTTTTCTTTCAGTAACTTCTTTATTTTTTTATTTGATATTTCCAGGGAGAAACTTCTACATTCAAGCCATATCTGCATAGATATATGACTCCATATTTGGCATCAAAGAGCAGTTCTCCTATGTGGTATGCTGTCAGGCGTGCATCTGCTCATATCATCGTGTTGTCTAGCTACTCTCCATTTGGTAACATTCTCTTCAAACTTGTTTTCTTTTGTTTCTGCCATAGATATGGAGTTCTCTGGCTGCAAGAAGTTTAAAGTCATTTGTGTGTTACACCTTGATACTTTTATTTATATATCTGAGATTCCTTTGCTTTTGGTGAAAAGTGAAAGTTTAAATGCAGTTAAGTGATGAGCAGTTGTAACCTGTAGTGTTGGGTGGAAAATAGGTGTTAGTGCTTCCCTAATTGAAAGAAACAGGCGGGGCGAACCCTTATACTGAATAAATATATATATTAGGAAAAAAAAGGTAAACAACTGAACAAACAAACAAGGAAAAGGAAGCTAGGTTTGTACAAAAGAATCTACTCAGTCACTTATAAGGTGAAAATAACTCCTCTTCGCACGATGCAAAAACATTGCGAATTCATGAATGAACTTGGATTTGCAAGCCTGCGCAGAAGGCAAGATTTGACTGAAATGTAGTCATTTCTCACTAGCCAAATAATGCTTCCCTAATGAGTACATTCTCACAGTTATCCCTTTAAATTGGCATCATATATAGTTATATACTACTAGATTTCAGAAACATGCTTGATTTTAGTAGCTTTTGTTAGTTTCTTTTGTGGCATATTCCCATTCAAGCTTGTGACCTAACTTCTAAACTTCTGATGGTTATTAGTAAAATACACTCCTCAATGGTTGTGGCTGAAGCATGAATTCAAGCGCGTGGACAGGGAAAAGACACCTTGGCTTATCGTTCTCATGCATTCTCCCATGTACAACAGCAATGAGGCACATTATATGGAGGGTGAGAGTATGAGGGCTGCTTTTGAGAAATGGTTTGTGAAGTACAAGGTCGACTTGGTATTTGCAGGGCATGTTCATGCTTATGAGAGATCAGTAAGTTCTTCCCTTCAGCAAAGTTTCCTTCCATTTGATTTTTTTTTTCACATGGTAGAAATTCTGAGTTTAGTCTGGACTGTGAATTTGTTCCTTCAGAGTTGAATCAGATATCTGAATGTTGATTTCTCATTGATACCCTACACTTGCAG